TGCTAGAACAGGCTGTAACTCAATGTACCTGAAGCTCAGTCTTACTGGTGACTGATTAGACAATATGATGATCCACCAAATGAAGTTAAACTTCATTTGACAGCATCTTTCCTTGTTCCTGCTTCACATACCCTTGCAACCTCTTGTGTGTTGAATCTTGCGCTTTTCTGACCCTTTAGGAAGACTTCACTGCATTATGAGGTGAAAATTAGTGCAGCCAAAACGAACTGCTGACAAAGGTGTCTGCCGATCCTCAGGGCTGGCGTAAGGATGTGAGGAATAAGGGCAGCCCTCAACAGTATGAAGTTGTTAGATTGGCTCAGCTGGCTTATTGCATCACGGAGTTACAAGTGAAACTGTATACTTTCAGAAGTCAGAGTCTCAAAAGCATGAGGAACTGTGGAGAATAATTATCTTCACTGTGATATGCAAGCTAATAAACTGGGAGGGCAAGGAAGATGGGCAGAAGGGGGCAACCTAAAGACACTCCTGAACTTTGCAGAGCTTACTATCCCAGTCCTGAGTATGAGCTGAACCTGATCAAGGGATAACTTGTCAATAAGGATCCTTTAGTCTAACAACAAAAGAAAATACAAAAATGCGCCCAGTGTGACTTGTATTTTAGCATTTCATTTAAGTAAAGAAGTAATGACTACCAGAAATAGAAAGGTTTCAGTCATTTCTGAGTCAGTACAGTTTCCTCCAGTACCTGAAGGGGATCTACAGGAAAGCTGGAGAGGGGCTTGTTACAAGGACGTGTAGCGATAGGACAAGGGGCAATGGCTTTAAACTGAAAGAGGGTAGGTTTAGATTAGATATAAGAATGAAATTTTTTACAATGAGGGTGGTGAAACACTGGAACAGGTTGCCCAGAGAAGTGTGGCTTCGCCGTCCCTGGAACTGTTCAAAGCCAGGTTGGATGAGGCTTTAAGCAACTTGGTCTAGTGGAGGGTGTCCTTGCCTCTGGCAGGGGGGTTGGAACTAGATAATCTTTAAGGACCCTTCCAACCCAAACCATTCTATGATTCCATGATTCATTGTAGAATCTGAATATTTTCACTTCAGTCGAAGGGCTGAAAGTATCTTCTGTATTTGCCACAAAGATACCACCAGAATATATTGTTGTCATTGTTAGTCTAAATATCATAAGTTATCTTTTCTGGGCCCTCTTAAAGAAACTGACATACCTGACAGAGTTAGTGGCTGAAAAGACTAAAAAGACTATTAAATCAAAAACCTTTCCAAATTATTTTGCATTCCCTAGTATTGTAAAAGGTCTGTGATGTTTGAAGGTAGTTCTTATATTCTGATAACTGAAACTCAACTGAAATTTAGAAGAAGTGAACCATTTCTTCTAACGTTGTGTAAATACTTCACAGAATCATGGAATCACTGAAGTTGGAAGGAACCTCTTGAGATTATCTATGCAACCCCCATGCTCGAGCAGGGTCACCAGGAGCAGTTTACCCAGATCAGTATCCAGTTGTATTTTAACAACAGACATGCTACAACCTTTCTGGGCAACATATTCCTGTCCTGTTCGTGTCCTGTTCCAGCTTCCCGGTTGTTTTGGCTGAAGACAAGCCTCTTAATGTGCCCTTTTGGCATTCAGGGTAAGAAGTTAGGTATTGTACCTTCCCATGCAAAACAGCTGATTGCATATTGACTAGAAGCTGTAAAAGCTGGAGTGATCCCAAGGATAAGCCCTAACCAGATGATGTCAGAGGCTTCCACAGCCTTGTAAGGAAGAGCTCTTTACTGCGTCTGATGCCAGCCTGTGCAGTGAGGATCTTCAGCCTTTCGAGAACATTGCACAAGTCTGTTTTTTTTTCCCAGAATTGGTTACTTTCCATGCGTATTCAACAGCTTGGTAGCTTAAACTGTTGCTTTCAGAGGCAGCTACTTAGAAGAACAAGGAGGACTGGAGCGTTAGTGTTGAAGCAGCATCTTACCATTGTCTGGGGAGAGCTGTACTGTAGAATGATTGGCAAAAACAGTGGGATCTGGAGTTGTAGTGGCCACCTCTGACAGAGAAAAGACACTGTCAGCCAAATGTATGGATGCAAGCTGCTGCTGATGAAGGCCAGGAATACCTTCCTCACTGCTTTGAGCTCCAACTTACTGGGAGTTGAACTTTATGTACTATCGAGGAAAGTCAGGTAGATGAGAGATGCCTTCACGCTGAAGCATTTGTCAAAGGTGCCTGTCAGCAAAATGTGTCTGTATGCGGTCTATGGCACATATGCCATAGTAGCTTCTGTGTTGCGTATTTAAGTCAGATCTGAAAGAATTCGCGCATCACACTTCTGACGAATTATTCTCACTGAATTAGAGTGATAGTTCTGATCAGTGTGTTTTAGAGCAGTCTTTGAGGACCTGTTTGATACCAAGAATCATGGAGCCAGACTTCTCCTGTTTGCCATGAGTGATGAGACTGTCACTG